ATATGTAAGCTGAAATAGAAAACGCTGTCTCACTTTATACACTGAGATCGAAAATTTCATATTGCAGTGAGAAAAAGACAGGACCATACAAAATTTTCTCTGCTACAGATGTTATGAAAAATAATTATTGTTGTATGATATGACAACATGGCAAATGAAATGAGCAACTAAGATAACACTTGTGTGGGGTAGGTGATTTTTCTCCTTCTGCTGATCTGTAATTTTATGTATTCCGAACTTTACCAGGGACGTAATTTTTATCTATTACAGGTTCTTGTAGAAACATATGCAGGCAACGTTCATTTTGGGCCAATGGGTGTCCAGCCACTCTGAAAAAAGAAGAGAAAAACAAAACAAAAAATATAATTCAGCACATTAGATTCTTCTGAAAAAACTCACAAAATGTTGCCAAGATAAAATGAGATAAAACGAGACATAAAATAAATAATCTAGTTATATATATAAGATATATAAACCAAAAGTAAAAGTTTTACCTATTTACAAAAGCTTCTAGGCCTTGTCTACGCTCTTCAATAAAATCTTCTTCAAAAATTCCATCATCACCTCTGAAAGGAAGCTGCCTTTTCCAGGCTTTGCCAGGTAAAGGTGGAACTACTATCTAGAAGAGCCAAAATAATAACCATGTATGATTAATATAACAATATATCTATCACTTTAAATTAAAAATGGTACCCGAGATCCAGTACAGACAGACAGACATCTATCATTGACTATGGACAACTTGACACATTGGAATAAGTTCATCCATTAATCAGCTGATTACAGCTGGCACAAACAAGATTCATACAGGAACGTTTCTAAGCACATTGCAATATAGCAAGGGATTTTTTTAATTTTACTATCAAATGATCTAACGTTTTGTGACATTCTCAGACCCCCTGGTGCAACTTTTGGAGTAATTAATTTTTGTCCAGGTACGAACTATGGCTAAGTTGTTGTCGGTTTTCATATTGCATTAAACATACAAAAGAAGATGTAAATTATCTGTTCAAATCCTATTTGCAGGTGCTTCAAATGTCTGGGGTAAGTTGATAGGGTTATCCTAGGCAAGTTACATGTATAAATCTCATTTGTGGCCACTGTAAGATAGGAATACAGTTTTAATGTTCAGCAAACAGTTAACCTGCGTTTTGAGCAGGAAAATAAATCACAAACAGACACTGATGCACACATGTGTACAAGAATTTTGTGTGATAATGCACAGTGACATTTTTACCTTACTATCTCGCTCCAATTCTGTTCGCAGCCATTCAAAATCACTGTATCGTCTCCGAACAGATGATTCTTTCAATTTAAATACTGGTAAATTTGTCTGTAGAAGAGAAGACATCAATATATAACCATGGTAAACAATCACATCCCTCAATCAAGTGCATTATATATATGTTACTACCTACTACCCAACATTTGTCAAATATACATGGCAGTCAAAGAACACAGCCTTAGAAACATAAATATCTAATAAACTGTCATACAATGTAATAATAATTCCGATTTAATATACCGGTTTCTTTGGTAAAATGTTTGCCATTCTGTGATAGAAATGTCATGGGGAAAAAAGTTAACTTGCATAAAGTAAAATTATTATTGAAAACATATTATTACAAAGCCTCAAATACTACAGTAGTTGACTGTTTCAAATGATTTGAGAAATGCATACAGCAGTGCTTGTTTAAGTAAATGTAAAACGGAAAACTGATAGAAAGATGTTGAAAACTGGATTAACAATCAGATGCATAGAGTAAAATTTGAGTGGAACATAACTCCGCAGCTAGCTCTAAGCTGGATTTGTCTTTCCATTAAAAAAACATCCATTTTTGTCATTGTCATAAATAGTTTTAACCTGGTCTATATAGTATTTATCGAAACATGAGACATATATTCAGGCAGATTACTTTACTGCCATTTTGAATATTATGCTGGTAAAAAAATATTACATGTACAGTAACATGTAGTTTAACAATGTTTCAAACCCCAAACCATGGCAAAACCCTTGAAATATAAACCGTAATCTTACTTTTCCACAAAAAAAATAGTTATTATAAGCTTTTTCACTCATGACTTGTGAAATTAAAAATGACTTTTATGCAACCTTAATTAAACTACACAAAAGCAAGATATACAATGGTTTTGAAAGCAGGATAAGCCAGCTTTATGTCAAGTTACACTCAGACTAAATATACTGATGAGTTTTGCTTGTTAATGATCAGTGTTTAAAACAATTTTAACTTTCAAGTTTCACTAACTATTGTTCTCAAACAAGCACGGGGGGGGGGGGGGGGATTTTCGCTTTTCTAAAGCCCAACAACTGATCTTCATACATTCTGTGTTCAGGAAAGGCATCTATATTCAGGCTATGCAAGTAAATGTATAGGTAGGTTTCATTTGCTAATGAAAAATACCGTGGTACATACTAGGTTTGAAGAAGGTAGAACAGAAAAAGGTCAAGACCAAGCAGTCCATGCTATTCTGGGTTTTAGTTCATCGAAAGGAGAACATCATCGGGAGTGGGAGTGTATACTGGCAGTAAATAAGCACAATCTGATCCGTCTTCTTGAATACCAATTTATCGGTTGCGTAATTCAAGTTGTACGAGCAGACGTGTCTACAGTGAACAGTATATCTACGTACAACACCAAAACGAAATTCGGAGGTTGTACAGGAAGTGCAGTGTTACAAGTCAGGTGGTGGCTACACCCCTTATTCACAACATGACATTGTACCTACCCTCATTCTCACTTCATAGTCTGAATATCTCTTTTTCCCAAAGCCATGTGTCTCTGGATTACATACATCAATTTCTAGAAAATTTGCCGGTGCGGCATATGCGTCATCAAGTGTCTGTTTTTTCGTATTCAATCGACGAGTGTCCGCACTCAAATCTGGTTCCGCAGCCATCTTGTTACAGTGGTTCTCCTTACTCGTTCGCAAGAGCTTTATAATGTTTACATGTTACTTAATGGATATTAATTATTTAACATTTAAAAATATACATTATGCTAAATTTTAGAGAAATACTTTATTGCTAAAACAAATCTTCAGTATGAATGATGTGAGATTAAAATATTTTCCAAGAAAAAATATTCTCTTGTACGAGGTAACAGACAAGCAAATTCGGTGGAAATGACGTCATACAAAAGTGTAAAATGGCGACTGCTGTGGCCTTGGGTCGTCTGGCAACTTGTCGGATCTGCCTGGTTTATCGTGCCATTCATCTACCAGGTAGATCAATAATGCGAAACAAGACGACGGTTGCTGCAACTGAAAGTAAGTTATCCTTTTCAATTTTTCAGTTGCCACATTTTCGCTGATTTTTTATTTTGACGGATGTTGCCGGTATCCTTGTAAATCGTGATGATGATCGTGTTTACATATTTTGCTTGCAACAAGACAATGTACGTCACGTACACCCATTTAATTGGCAAGTTATTTATTGTTGGCCATAGTTCTTTTTATTCTGGCAATGAATTTGAATAATGTCGTCTTGATGGTTATGAAATCAGTAAGTGATCGCATACATGTAGCTGTCAATGTATCCTGGCGCAATAATGACATCCAGGTAGCACAGTACATATCAACAGGTACTCTGAAATTAACAAAACAAATACATGATTAATATGCACCTTTCTTTTAGAAGGAGTTGATTTAATGTTTTTTTCTTTTAATATTCTTTTTTTTTGTAAATTAGTTTATTTTTATTCCTTCCATTTAGTGTATTAATCCTGTATACTTTTACTATTATCTGTGACCATTGCCATTGCCATAAATAAATATATTGTAAAATTTTGACAGAAATCATTTATTCGCAAGTCTAAGAAACAGACTGGCATCAATATTGATCAAGACTTGTCAAACTTTGAAAGATATATATTGTACTCATTAGATCAAAACTATTTTTCCTGGCAAAACAAAACAGAAACTGGCATAAAATTTGGTCATATTTTGACCCATCTACATGCCACACGAACAATTATGATGCTAAAACTAGCCAATAAATCATGTATATTAAATTATTGTTTCAGGTAAAAAGCAAGTTTAATCAAGTTCGTTAAACTTTGACTAATCTACATATCTTATGAATATTCATAATGACAAATCTATCCAATAAATCAGACATGTTAAAGAATTTTCCATGAAAAAAAAAAATGGCATAAAGTTTGTTATTAATGCCAAGCGAAAAAAGTTGAGTGGTTCCTATAACGCCACCTACCATATTTTTACTGCTTGACCTCTGTTTCATTGGGCCATTGAAGAACACACAAATTTGTGCCAGGCTTTGAATGAGATTTACAGAAATGCGAAACTGGATAAAGTAAACAACTTTAAACATGATTTATGACACTCTTATCTGCAAAACAGTTCTATAACCAAGCAAAAATATATAGGAAAATAGCAAAAAATCCCTATTTTATTTATCTACTTTATTTAAAAAAAAAACGATATAGGAATCACAACGTTTGTGTGTGTGTATCATGAGAATCAGCATAAGGCATGGCAATAGTTCAGTTTCTAAATTATATTCATTTTTCCATATTTGTTGGATTATGATTTGAATGAATGGGTTAGTGATGGATTTGATGTTGAAGTACCGTTATCCACTATATACTTTGCAGTGTGTTTAGCCGTGTTCTGGGTGACAGGTTTAATCAATTAAACTAAAATATATAATTAATAATATATTCTTTTACTATTTCACTATTTTCAGCTGTAAAACCAATATCCAGTAAATTAGTCAGCCAACGAGATAAACCGAAGAAAAAGAATAAACCTAAAGTAGAGACAGATTCACATAAAAACCCAGAATATATTTTCAGTCATGCTAAAGACAGTGAAGTTAGAAAAGGATCATTAAAGTATTATCAGTCGCTTCTCAAGAAAGGCTACATAGAAGAGGATACTTTACAGAAAAATATAATTGAACATCTTCAGAAATTACAGACAAGGTTAGATGGATATAACCCAGCCGTCCAGTCCGGGTTGTTTGCAAAGGTGAATAAAATCAACTTCAGAAGTATCCTGATATGCTTACCTACATGGAGATCTATGCAAGAAATTGAAATTTCACAGTGATGTCTTTTTAGTCCCCAATCAAACGATGTTCAAAAACAGGAACTTTTATAATTCTTCCTCCATCCACTTGTGTGGATTCATATTTCAGAACCCTCTGGACTGAATCCATTCTTTGCACATGCCTAGTACTGTATTTTGGACATATACACATGGTTCATCAGCTTTTCTTGAAATTTGACCAAAATGATTTTATTTGGGGGGAGGGGGGTTGACGGCCATTAAATCTGCCTCAGAGGGAAATTAGTGTGAACTAGTGTTAAGGAGACATGTTAATACCCTTGTTGTGAAGTGAAGTGTTCATAATAGTGATGATTGTCAGATATTTAAGATTGAACATAGATATGCCAATTATAATAAAGTATCCACAAAACTTGTAATTAGACTTGATTTACAGATGACGAGAATCTGTTGTTACTTTGTAGCTATTTGGTAGTACAGCAAAACCAGCTCCTAAAGGTCTGTATTTGTATGGCAGTGTTGGTGCGGCAAGACAATGGTCATGGATCTCTTCTATAGATGCTGTGTAGATATCAAACAGAAAAGAAGAACTCATTTTAATGCATTTATGTTGGATGTACATGCCAGTAAGTACATATGAAATAACACTTTATACACAACAAATTAAAAAATGTGGTTAAATGATGATACAACATACTAGTATGTGTAGATATAAGACACCGTGCATCTTCCATTTATCCACTATACTTTTGCGTGTATACAGACAATGTTATTTTGTAATTTTACTTTCAATGTTTGCATGGTCGCTTGTGCCCTTAGTTGATGA